CCTGATGGCCTATTTGGATGCCAAAACCTGTTGGTCTTTCAGACTAAATAAGAAATAAACAAGTGGCCATCATCAGGTAAAGCTAAGCCTGCTCGATGTTTTGCTCCTTTTCAAGCAAGGCCAAGCAAGTATGACATGCAAACACTGTTTCTCTGAAAATTAGTGGGTGCTAAAGCACCTTTTAAAAAGTAAAAAAAAAATCAGACTGGTAACGCTAGATTATGTAAATCTGTTTTCGGTAGTACAGCAGCCCCTCTGTATCTGCAGCTGCCGATCTTCAGATTCAACCGACTGCAGATTCAATGTTCATAATATTGTATATTTGAATCTATGGCGATAAGCACACCAGTTGCCTATTTCTGCCTTGAAGTTCATGGAAGGGGGGGAGGGGATCATTCACGGGACAAGAGGCAGGCAACTGCAGGGGGTTATTGCCTCCGCTGCTGCCTGCCATAATATTTAATAGGAATTTATAAGCCTTGCCTCGTGTTTACAGTCAATCTTGCAAGCCCCAGGAAATTTGCAAAGAGGCTGCAAACACAAGTATTCTAAGTACCTATTACAAATGGTGGAAGGTAGCAATGGTGGTGGCAAGCCCAGGCGCACTGCAGACTACAGGTAACCTGCTGGCAACCTGGTTCTACCATAGGCTTCAAAGGTAAAAGTGGGCAGTTGGTGTAATCTTCACACACACTATAACATAATTCAATAACCTATTCCCTTCCATATTAAGAGTTTTATCATATTTTGAGAAACAATGTAGTATAGTGGTATGAGCACTGGGACTATGGCTTTGGAGATTAGGGTTTGAATCTCCATCTTAGCCATGGAATCTCTCTTGTTAACCTTGTCTAAGTCACCATCCCCTTAGCCTCAGTGAAGGGCAAATGTCAACCGCTCTGAACAACGTTTACCATAAAAACCACATGACGAGACTTGCCTGAGGATTTTCATAAGTCAGAAACAACATGGAGTCACACAACAGCATTAGAATATTTACTCTAGACAATAAGCTTTCTCAAGACATCCTACAAAATAACAGAGCTTTAAAAAACACAAATTACCAGCACAAACTCCTGCTCAACTCAAAGGTCACACACAGACCAGTGTGATTAACTGCATGTGCAACTGTGATAGTTCTGGCATCTAGTTATCATTATTCTACTATACAGGTCTATTCCTGTACCTGTGGGGCCAATGCCCAAAGTTTCATCCACATCCTCGATAGGAATTTTCTGCCTTACTGAAAATTCTGGAGTATGTTTCTACTTCTAACACAATCACATTGGAGAATCTAGAAAATTCCTAGAGAACTTAATCTCCAAAATGGCTTTATAGCAACTTGAAGTGGAAGTTCATCTCAATAAATTTCACTATTATCCACTGTTTCCTGTTTCCATGGTAAATTTAGAAACACTTTCCCACTGTACATAGTACCCTATTTCTTTTGTGCCCAACATTTCTGAAAACTCCCATTCTACCCATATAGTTCAAGATTCACTTTCAAATGAACATTTATGACCTTGTCTGCAAAGAAGTAAATCCCAAAGAATTCAGCTGGACTTTTGAATAAACATATTGTATTTCACTGTGTAATAGTTATCATTGTGTAACTTGCACTCCTTTAGTATCTTTGCTTTCTTCATGTAATAGTTGCACACTTGATTCCTCACCCCAAGGTATCCATTTCATTTGCTCATCCGTGTGCCCACCCCTTTCTAACTACAGTGCTTCAATTGACCAATCAGCCTTTTGCTCAGCTATGATGTTTCACTCCCCTGCTTTTGGACTCAGCAGAATGAAGAACCGTGGCTGGAAGAGGGCACTTTCTTTTCACCATATCATACCCTCTTTTTTCAGTAAAAAAAAAAAAAGATTTCAAAAGTGACTATTATGTAATGAAATACAGTAAGATCAGACTACAAGAATCTGTCATCCAGTAGCTAATGATTTGCCATAAACAGTTTACCATGTGCCATTATGTTTGCACTGAAGCTCATAAACTGGAGAAAACAGGCCCCAAACAAAGTGGGATGAAAGAGAGCATTTGCACATTTCTCACAAATTCTCTCCATATAATTAAAGCTACTGAACAGTATTTCTAGCGTTCTTGGGAATATTAATTAATTTGGAAGTATTGATAATTAGCTAACATTATGACATAAAAGCAACCACTTTATGAGTCAGTGTACAAAACTATCATAAAACCTGCTTGAACATTGCTTATTTCTACAAAAGTATTTTATTACATTGCTCCAACTATATCCCCCTTTATTTTTATTACTATACATTAATACATTATAATTCCTTCTATTTTAACATTTTATTTTAGAGCTAACATTATTTCTTAAACAATTGCTATATTTACTGTTTGTATTGTTTTTGCTATTTTATGACTTCATTTTTGTCTCAAGTTGCCCTTGGGGGACTCTTGCCCTTAATTTTTTTTAAAAAAACTCTCAAAATATTGTATTTTATAGCATATTTTAAAGAAAGAAATACACTAGAAAAATGGGAGACACCTTTCATCGCCCAAAAAGTCCAAAATAATCATATGCTAGTTATGTGACTCAGTGGAATCACAAAGAATACTCTAAACATTAACAAGGAATATGGAACGGACATCAAGCTTGCTTGGAAGAACAGGCATGCAGATGGAGAAAAAGGAAGACATTGACATGCAAAGAATAATGTTGTGAGGAAAAAGCATATCAGCAATCAGTTTGTTGGTGGGAGGTAAGAACTGGATCTGACTAATTCAATAATGTACAGAGTACACTATGCATATCTGAAAAATTGCAGATTTCAGACTAAGACAAAGGTATTAGTACATTCTCTAAACCAGAGCGATAAATGCTGATTAATTATCCAACAAAATACTTGCTGCTCTCACACATGTACAGATGAGACAAATACCCTGACTAAAGAATCATAAAAAGAAGAACTGTGGATTAATTCCATTCTCTCAATGCAAGTTGCATTGAAGTTATGCAAGACAGTAATTGTAGAAGCCAAAGAAGAGGGCATGCAATTAACGAAGTATAACAAGGAGCAAACATACAACTAATACAACTATCACTAGGCCAATTATGCTGGAGAGTGCACATACAACTAATATAACTATCACCAGGACAATTATGCTGGAGAGTGTAACACTGCAATCCTATGAACTCGCTTGTGAACTATTTCCATTGAGCTCAATACTTGTTATTTCTTACTTAGGATTGAAGTCTTAACCACACAACTGAAAATAACTGGTCTACTTTCTGAGAAAATGTATTTAGTTTGTGGAAAGAGGCTTAGGTTGATAGGTGGCAACTGAGGTAGGGTTAGTGAACATGCTTAAGGCCATGAGAGATGAGAAAAACGAAGCAAATACAGAAAGCTGTTTGGGGAAGGGATGACCCTCAAGTACAGGAGACTCTTTACACAACAGCTAACTTAATTACAAATTGAGTATCCTGGATACAAAATGCTTGGGAACAGAATGGTATTGCATTTTGAAATACTTGTATATACATAAGATACCTTGAAGATGAAATCAAGTCTAAAGACAAAATTCATATGTTTCATATACACTTATACACACAGTCTAAGGGTAATTCTATGCACTATTTTCATAATTTTGTGCACAAAACAAAGCTTGCACACTCTGAACCACACTCTGAACTACCTCTGCAACCCATGTGGACAACTCCAGTTTTTTAAGATTCCAAATTCTGGACAAGGGGTACCCAACCTGTACTGGTTACTTCCAAAAGAAGTGGACTCTACCAGAGCACTTCAAGCATCTCTTTAATCATCTCCCAAATAGGTAGTACCACAGAGTGAGGCTGGATTAGATCCAATATCTTTTTTCCAGCAGTCTTGACTTGCCAGAGCCTAGAATCTAGGCCAAAGGCAGGCAACCTGAAGCTCTCCAGCCGGGTTGTTCTTTTTTAATGTTTACTTTATTTATTCATTCATTTACTTACTTATAGGGAGCCCTTGGTGGTGCAATGGGTTAACCCCTTGTGCTGGCAGGACTGCTGACCAATAGGTCAACAGTTCAAATCCAGGGAGAGCGGATGAGCTCCCCCTGTCAGCTCCAGCTCCCCATGTGGGGACATGAGAGAAGCCTCCCACATGGATGGCAAAACATCAAAACATCCGGGCGTCCCCTGGGCAATGTCCTTGCAGACGGCCAATTCTCTCACACCAGAAGCAACTTGCAGTTTCTCAAGTTGCTCCTGATACAGAAAAAAATTACTTACTCCAATTCCCATCAATTTTACCCAATGTAGAGGCATTGTGGGAATTACAGATACACAAAGATGACGCTCACCTCCTTTAAAGGGAATCACCCCGCCCCCCCCCCCCACGCTTAAGGGGTCCAGAAGTCACCCACCTGTTTCAGGAGGGGGGGCACAACTCAGCTGCGTAAAGGAGCCACTAGTCACCCCTTTCTGCTTAAAAGGGGTCCACAAGTCACTCTCCACTGCATAATAGGATCTAGAAGTCACCCAGCCCTGCGGAAGGAGGGGCAGAATTCACCCATATTTTATTTATTTATGATATTTCTCTCCCGAAGGTGAGTCTTGGCGGCTTACAACCTGCTTAGGGGGGGGGTCTCAAGTGTTTCAACGGGGGCACGTCACCTTTCTTTGCTTAAGAGGGGGGTCCCCTGTCTAAAGACGCCATGAGTCACTCTCCTGGGCTGAGGGCGGGGTTAGGAAGTCACCCCTTCCCCTGTTTAGGGCGAGTACCCATGCGGCCTGTGAGGAAGAGGCGGGGTCACAAGAGGGGGAAAAAACCGGAAAACGGGGAAGAGGAAAGTAGTGAGAGCATGATGCCAAGGGAAGGCCCAAGTCGCTGCAGGCTGGTGGTGAGGCCTCAAAGGGGGCAGTTACCTCCCTCGGCAGCAGCCCCACATTATTGCTATGGTTACTACAACTACCCTTCCCTTTCCCTTCTCTTCCCTTCAAGCCCAGAGAGAGAGAGAGAGAGAAACCAGTATTTACCTGTCGCGGCCAGGGGTGTGCGTGCGTGTGCGCGCGCTCCCTCCCTCGCTCGCTCGCCCGAGTGCTTCCCTCCCTCTCCTCCTCTGACGTCTCGCTCCGCAGCCCCAGGCCGGGGAAGGAGAGGTGGAAGTGGAGGGCGCGAGAAGGCCAAAGGGGGCGGGGCCACGAGCGGTGGCTGTTGCTGGTTGGCTAAGGGACAGGAAGCACGTCCGGGTTTCGTCCTCTCTTTTTTTTTCTTTTTCCTCCTCCTCTTCGCGTCGGACTTTACGCTCGTGGCCAACCTGGGCACGTGCCCACGCCTCCCTCTCTCCCTCTCTCTCCTTTTCTCTGCCTGTCACGCGCTCGCTCAACGGATTGGAATCGGAACGCCGAAGCGAGAAGGCCCCGCGCGCTCACGTGACGGCCATGTTGACACACTCTGTGTGTGTGTGTGCGCGCGCACCCCCAATCTCCGCCTGCGCGCGCACCCAACCATTTCCTTTTTCTGGAAAGAAATCCCGTTTGGAAAAGGAAGAGGCGGGTCTTGGTGTCTCTTCTGTCAGTCGCGTTTCAGTTGCGGTTTAAAGGGCCCTGTGCTCGAAGAATATGTATGTCAAGCCTGACTGAGGTCCCATCCATACTGTATTGAACCGGATTATATGGCAGTGTCAACTCGTATAATCTAGTTCAGTCAGCATTATTATACAAGTTACGCTAGTCATGGGACAACTTGGGCCCTCCTGGTGTTTTGGACTTCAACTCCCACAATTCTTAACAGCCTCAGGCCCTTTCCTTTCCCTCCTCAGGCGCTTAAGCGGCATGATGGACAAAAAAACCCCTGCAAACTTGATCTTCAGTATGCCCTGATCAAATAACACTGTGCGTAATCGAATCTAGGATTTCTCAAATGCTGTTAAAGATACCATAATTTCCTGTATCAGTCAAACAGAATTTTCAGTACAAGTGGACGAAATCAGGGATATTGCTGGATTAGCTGTGTTAATGACATTTGTGCAGTTTGGATATTCAGGTTCTTTTCACAAAGATATTCAGTTTTCCAAACCACTTCCATCATCTACAAGCAGTAATTATTTTTTTCCCCCTTGCTTGATGCCTTCTTCATTCAGAATTTGATACCGTGGGACAATTGCATTGGCGTGTGCACAGATGGCACAAAGGCCATGATAGGTGACGTTACAGAAAACAAGAAAGTTTTTAAAAACTGCACAAGTATGCATTGTGTACTACATCATTACTAATTTACAATGAAAAAAAAATGCCAGCCTTATTAAAGGAGATAGTAGACGATGCCATCTGAATTATCTGCTCCTAAAGATGATGAAACATGACCTTTGCAGTGTATGGGAAGATATGGAAAGTATACACAAGTTGTTATTACACAGAGAAGTATGATGGTTGTTACGTTGTAAAGCATCCCATTTATTTGAAGTTCAAATGGTAATTTCTTCACTTTTGAATGATGAAAAGAGTTTGATACCAGATTATTTGAATGATCAGGAATGGTTCTAAAACTGTTACTTGGCAGACATTTTTTTCAAAAATGAACAAATTCAGCACATTTATACAAGGGAGACAGAAGGCAATATTTGATACTAATGACAAAATTGCTGTGCTGAAGAAACGGCATTCTACATGGAAAGCGTTGAGAATAAAGATCTGACAGGTTTCCTATTGACTCCAAACTTTTTAGAAGAAAATAATATATACAATGAATAAATCATTGCCAGCAATAATTTAAAAAACAACAATTTGCTTCAAAATTTGAATTCATACTTTCTAGGGGACACTCAGGATTTGAAAGATTTCTGAGTGGATTGTAGATCCATTTTCAGTGATGTCAAAACCAGAGTATGAGTTGTGGCAGAATATGAGTTCTTTATAGACATTGTTTTGGATGGCCACTGTCAGGCATCATTTAAAAGCAAACTACTTCCCAAATTTGGGGCTCAGGAAAGGATCTTTCGATATTAAGTTCAAAAGCAAAATTGCTATTACTTCCTTTTGATTCTACATACCTCTGTGTAAACAGCCTTTTTGAGGTACACAGCTACAAAACCTAAATATCAAGCTTATTTGGACACAGAAGAAGACATGCATCTTCAACTGATTTCTATGACACCAAACATTAACAAACTCTGCCTAAAAAACTAGGCACATTGTTCATAGTAACTTTGGGTGTACGTGGAACATTGTAACATTTTTCGCATATCTTAACTAGTTGTTATATCATTTTGTAGATTTAAATAGTGAATAATATTGTCTCCAGTTCTTTTTTATTATTGTTTGCTTTATTTGTATATATACCTTATTATTCAGTAGATCAATAGATACTGCTCTAGCGGGAAGGTAACAGTGCTCCATGCAGTCTTTCCAGCCACATAACCCAGGAGGCGTCTATGGACAAGGCCAGCACTACAGCTTAGAAATGGAGATGGACATCACCCCCCAGAGTCGGATTCAACTAAACTTAATGTCAAGGGGAAACCTTTACCTTTACCTGTTCTTACTTCCATATACATACTGTGTGTAATATGCCTTACAGAGCATAGAACTAAACACTAAATGTTTCTTGGGGCTCCATGAGAAACTTTTGCTTCAAAAAGGGCTCCGTGGCTGAAGAAATTTGGGAACTCCTGCCATAACCTATTCCTTTGTTTTAATTGCTTCAAATGTTCCTGGTATTCCACGTTCAAATCTGAGGGTGCATCTACACTGTAATCAATTCCATTTGATACAACTGCCCTAGCTCAATATTAGGGAATCCTGGGAGTTGTGGTTTGGTGAGGCATCAGTACTCTCTGGCAGTTGTACTCTAAATAATAAACTAAATAATTATAAAATAATGTGTATTAAATATCTTTGCCAGACAATTTTACAATGCCAATAGATTGTCTTCTTACGTTTCGCCATTTCAGCAAAGACAAGTGGGCTGTGTCTCCCTCTTCCCCAAGATTGTGTTAATCAAAGCACCTTTGGAAAACTACCTAGCCCCTGGACATATGTAGTTAGTTAGTTAGTCTAACTAATCCTTTCACAATAGATAGGGGATTGGGAAACTAATCCTCTCTGTTAGTCTCTATAACCCTTTCTATTGACAAACTTATTTCATTAAGAAACTTCCTGCAGTTATAGTTGGGTGGTTTTCCGGTTCCCATTTATAAGAACAGGATTATTGGTTGCTAAGCATCAACGTATGAGTTATGGGCAAATCTAGCCCATTGAACTATTGATTACTTCCAATCACCCTTTGTGTTTTCTGGAGTGGCCTTTTGTGCTCACCGGCAGTAAACATTAAGTCAATCATGGACTCATTTACATTTGACGTCAAAATATTCCTGATTTTTGGAGATGGATCTTTAAATGGACCCACAAATGATAGCTCCTTTAATTTCCTGCCACCAGGGAAACCAATCATAGGGGCCACTTCTGATACTTGCAGCCAACTGAGACCCAGTTTCTAGCTCACTGGAGGCTGCTGTGGTAGTTCTGAATAGCTGTCAAAGTAAATAAATATGCTCTATATTTTCCAGTGCTTTATGTCAGTACATGAGCACTAGCTCTGCTGATATCCTCTTTGGCCATTATGATTGAAGACTTCTGTCCTTGCCTTCACATGTGTTTGTGGTTGTTTATACTAGGCAGTGGAATATATTGCTTGTTATATAGATGCTTAATATAATTGGAACTACTAGTACAGGGGTCCTCAAACTTTTTAAACAGAGGGCCAGGTCACAGTCCCTCAAACTGTTGGTGGGCCGGATTATAGTTTGAAAAAAACATGAATGAATTCCTATGCACACTGCACATAGCTTATTTGTAGTGCAAAAACATTTAAAAACAATACAATAATTAAAATTAAGAACAATTTTAACAAATATAAACTTATTAGTATTTCAATGGAAAGTGTGGACCTGCTTTTGGCTGATGAGATTGGATTGTTGTTATTATTATGTACTTTCAAGTAGTTTCATACTTAGGTTGATCCTGAGCGATGGCCGGGTAAATGACCTTGGAGGGCCGCATCCGGCCCCCGGGCCTTAGTTTGAGGACCCCTGTACTAGTATGTTAAGCTATTTGCAGCAGTGGTTGAGTAGAAGGACACTTTCTACTTAGGGCAAAATCTTCAATAAGTCTGCATTACTTTCATAATCTCAGGACCTTTTAAACATCCCACCACTTTAGGTGCATCTACACTGTAAAATCAATGCAGTTTGACACCGGTTTAACTGCCATGACTCAATGCGATGGAATCCTGGGGGGTTGTAGCATTGCAAGACTTTCAGCTTTCTCAGCGAAGGAGTGTTGGTGCCTCACCAAGCTGCAGGTTCCAGGATTCCAGAGCACTGAGCCATGGCAGTTGAAGAGGCATCAAACTGCATTAATTCTTCAGTGTAGATACACCCCTGTAGTGGCAAGACATCATTGATAAGGAGTGAAGAAAGGGTCTTATGGATTGTAGCAGTATCATTGTGGTTTTCATGACTAATTCTGCTACTTGATTTTAAGAATTTTTTTTATCAGTTTGACTTTTTGTTGAGAACAGTTTACTCTCATTATAGCTTTATCACAAATTATCCCATAGGGTGACCTTGGGCAGGTCACACTCAGCCTCAGAGAAATGTGAAGACTAATTTTCTCTGAACAAAACTTACAAAGAAAATCCTGTGACATGTTTGCCTTCAGGTCATCAAAACCCTGAAACAACCTGAAAGCATAAATGACAACCAATTCCATTTTCAAGGTTCTGCAAAAGTTGTCTAATACTAATGGGGGGCATTACTGACAGGAGTCTTTCTGGCAATGAAAATTGAATGGGAAGCCAGCACAACAAAATAAGGGAATATACAGGATTGGGGAATCTCAGCAAGAGATAAATGAATGTCAGGACTTCGAAAGGTATTGGTTTCTGTAACAACTGGCAGTAGACACTGTGCTACATTTCTGTTAGCCAATATTCCCAAATTGTGCTTGAGCAATATGACAAATGCCCAGTCCTTTTTGTTCTGTTGCTGCTGGGAGTTGTATTTCAAGAGTAACCAAAGAGCCACACAATTCCCCTCCCCGATCTTTATGGTAATTGACAAGGGATGCATCTACACAGTAGAATTAATGCAGCTTTACACTGATTTAATGGCCATTATTCAATGATATGGAATCATGGAAGTTGTGGTTTTACAAGATCCTTAGCCTTCTATACCTGAGTGCTGATGCCTCACTAAACTACAACTTCCATAATTCCATAAGATTGAGCCATGACAGTTAAAATGGTTTCAAACTGCATTAATTCTAGATCATGTACAGTCAAACATCAGCTGAAGAGGAAGAAATACTTTACAGTAGGTCAAGTGTTTTCCTTGTTCAAAATGCTATAGACTTTGAAGATCTCGGACTCCACTGTAAACTGAATCTGATAACAGGAGGAAATCAATTCTTCCAAAACACAGGATTGAGGAACCTGCAGCTCTTCAGAAGTTGTGAGACTGCGTTCCTCAGTCAACATAGTCAGGAATTCATGATGATTAGAGCTGTAATCTGATGTCATGTGGATGCATGCGGATTCCCTGCCCTTGCAGTAACAAGCCTCCATTATCCTGGTCTGTGGTAGCAACTAAACAGTAGAAAATATATGTGCTATAAGATATTCATCAAGTAACTGCAAGTACCACCCCAAACTTGCTCCTAAGGCACTGGGGACTGGGTGTCAGCAAACATTAAACCTAATAGTTACACATAGCCTTAGGTGAGTTCCACATCACTTAGCCATGAACTTTAGTGGTATCAGGGGGCTGAGAAAGGTTCCAAGAGCCACATATAAGTCCCATTTATATTGGTGTGAAATATCACAGCCAACATTTGTCTTCAGTGTAGACCACAGCTGGCTATAAGTCAATGAAAGCCAGCAACTTCATGGGAATCCCGAATGCAGGAATTTGGGGTTAGCCGTCAAATCTCATAACTCACATTTGTTGTAAATAAATGTATGTGCCCAAGGATATAGGACTACTGGTTGAATCCACCTCTATCCCATTGGTTAGAGACAATGCCACCTGATAATTCCTTCTCTGCAGTTTATTCAGTTGTAGGATGCCTTCCCCAAAGGTTCAATTACTATTATTCAAGCACAAAATAAAAGCATAGCCTTTTATTGAAGCCATGCTGACCTTTTTCAAATCTACAGATTTTAAATCTTCAAGCAGATTATAACTCTTTTCACCTTGTTAATACACTTTTGACCTATTTTTTCTTTGTACTGTATTATGTTGTTTTAGATAAACTGCTTTTGTTGTCCCTCCCAAATTCCCAACCATAAAGGACAATATATATTGTCATTAATTTTTTTTAAGGTCAGATGTTTGCCTTTATGAGTCATAATCCATTTGATCCATCGAATGCTTCAACAGAATGTGATCTATGAACCTCACAACTGTACAAAATGAAAATCTGTCTGTGGTGTATTTGGGTGAAAGAAGTGTCTGTTATGTCATTTGCTCTTTAAATTGAATCCTTTGAAACAGCATTCTGATGTTGCACAAGCCATCTGTGTCTCTATAGCTGTTTAAACATTCAGTACCTATGAATGTAATCCGAGATGGGAAGCTTCACCTTACATCTACACCAACGTTTCTCAACCTGGGGGTTGTGAGTGGGGTGTCTGAGGGGTCGCCAAAGACAATCTGAAAACACCGTATTTTCTGTTGGTCATGGGGGTTCTGTGTGCGAAGTTTGGCCCAATTCTATCGTTGGTGGAGCTCAGAATGCTCTTTGATTGCAGGTGAACAATAAACCCTAGCAACTACAACTCCCAAATGACAAAATCAATCCCTCCCCAACCCCAACAGTATTCAAATTTGGGCGTATCGGGTATGTGTGCCAAATTTGGTCCAGTGAATGAAAGTACACTCTGCATATCAAATATTTACACGAGGATTCAGAACAGTAGCAAAATTAGTTATGAAGTAGCAACGAAAATAATTTTATAGCTGGGGGCCACCACAACATAAGGAACTCTATCAAGGAGTCACAGCATTAGGAAGGTTGAGAACCACTGATCTACACGTTCATCTGAATATGTATTCTCAAGTTGAAATCAATCTATTGGGTTCTTTACAAAAAATTGGGGTCCTCAAAAGTGAACACGGGTATATGAAACCCACATTGAACAGGATTATTTGGCAGCAAGGACTCAGATAATCCAGTGCAAAGCAGATATTATGGATTATCTGCCTTGATATTCTGGTTTATATGACTGTATAGAAGGGCTCTAAGAGTTCCTAATCGGCCAGGGAGGTATTCTATGTGCTGAAGTGTACACATGGGTTCTGTTTTCAAACACTGGAAAGATGTATAGATTGAATTCAGAGCTTGCTCTCTCCAGTCTAAACACAATATTACTGATACCGAATATTCAAAGTGTGTTTTGTGTCTCTATGCAAACTAAATTTTCTACAAGAACTACTGATTTGTGCAAATCCAACCCACTTTTTCAACAGGGATGAGATTCATACTGCCATCGAGATATTGCAACTACTGCTCCCAACATTTTTCATAATTTGTTATGTTGGTTAGGGCAGCTGAGGCATGCAGTCCATCATCACTGGAAAGGCTGTATGGTTTTCACTTGTAAACAGACTGGCTTTTTCTGAAGTCAACATCTACCCTGTTTGTCGCTGAGGATGGATCTCCACTGCCCTATATCCCGGGATATAGGGCAGTGTAGACTCAGGCACAGAAAGATCTCTACCATAAGAAATTGCTTTTTGTAGCAGGACAGATCCTGCCCTCCATGATAAAACAACTCATGTCCTAGATATCATTCTAGGAGAACATATTTTAGTTTATATTTTTTACCATGCTACACATTTTTAATTTCAATTTTTGGGTTTTACTGGTGGAACTAAAAGGGCTTGCTCAATTTCTGATAATTGAATTGCTGCTTCCAGGCACTGCCCATCAATTACAGTTGTGATGCAATGGTTGTGCTGCATGGGATGTTCTAATTTTAACTATCAAAACTAGAATCTGAATTTCTGGTAGTGCAGAAACAAAAGTGACTTTGAGAACAGCACCCCGTAGAATGAAGAACTGCCTTTGAGAATTACAGGGAGCATCAGATGAAAATGGTTGCCACGTGATCAATGTATACCTTTTTGTATCAACGGCATTCTGCTACTTTAAGATACAATACTTTAATAGAATACTGTATTAAAGTACTACAAAGGAAACTAGAGGGGCTAAATATACCTCTGTGCAGAGAAGCATATGGAGAAGAGGCATATGAATTACAAGGGTATGAGAAAACCAGGATGAAATAGCTAACTGGAAAATACCTGGATGTCAGACATCACATATATACCTACCATCTGTAACCTCTGTTGGGTTGCTCCTTGTACTCCTTTGTAAATATTGCATTTCCAGATACGGAAGAATCCCATTTATATAATAGTAACAAGTACCTTTGTCAGCTTGTTAGCACTAGCTTAGAACCTAGGGTATACTTGAGCCCAATAGTTTCTTAAACACACTTCCAGAATGTGGTAAGCACATGCTTACATCCGTTGATTTCAGTTAATGAAGGGACCGTGCATATCCAAATATGTGTACCCAGACAGGAAAGGTGTACTTAAAACATTTGTGGACCATTAAAGACCTACTCACTAATGATCAGAGTAACCATTTCCAAAGTCAACTGGGAAATATAGAACCATATAAAATGGCACAATAATGAGCTAGTCTTCAAGTTCACATAGTCAGTTGATTATAAGGAAAGTATTAACTGCCTATACATTTGAAAAAATACATGTAAATATGCTATGTATCTTGTAAATTTTATGGCTGATGTACTGGAAAGTAGTGGTAGTCTTACTGAGCTTTTATATCATTGTTAGACGTTACAGGGTTTGCTTAACTGCCTTAGGACAGCTAGGATGCTTCTAGGATTGTCTTCTAAAGATATATTCATAGCAAGTTATAGTCCAAGAGTATTATTTCCTTGCCCTCCCTAACCCCAAACAGAAAATTAGAAGTAAACTGCAATGCAGCTTTGAGTTTATTTAGATGTTTGAGCTCTCGCACTAGATTTTACAAGCTGGTGAACACTGGCAAATTATTTCTCCCACAGTACTATAACCACACATTCCCAAGACGTATAAATATATGGTTGAACATTAATACACACCACCGTTTTATCAATTACATAACAAATTATCAAGTATCCAAATATTAAGTTACGCAGCTCAAAAGGCATACAAAATCTTACAGAGGACTGCCACATTCATGGCAGAAACTCAAGGAAAAACAAAAAAAATCACTCTCAATAAAGCAATAGTTGGTAAACAACTTCCAATAAGTACGATAAAAGAAATTACAAGATCTTGAGAAATTTATGATTAAGAATTTTCAGCTACAATAAAGCATCTCTACATTAAAAAAATATTTACTAAAGTAAAGGGCATATTCTATACTTCCTGCACAAGACAAAAGGCAACATTTGACTAGAAATATTAATTCGTCCCCTTCCCATCCTATTACAGGCCCTCTGCTAAAGGTTGCACATCATGTGCCTGTATTTATTTAACTGTAAGGCGTTTTGTCTGGAGACATTAAAGACTTGTGTGCTTCTGTACAGCGTGAAGGTTTGCTTTCTAAGGAAAAAAAAACCCATTGAATGCATGTGAATGAAAAATGTGAAGTAACACAAGTTTAGACACCAAAAGTCACCAAGTCCATCAATTGTGTGCAAATCCTGATACTCATTCTAGTGCGACTGTGGGAAACAAAACACAGTAAATTATACTATGAAGCTCTATCCACACAAAAAAAAAAGACAATTGAGAAGAGGGCAAAGGTCCAGGTAACTGCAGTTACTAAGAAACTATACTGTTGTATACAGAAATAGTGCACTGGGCGTTTGGCACCGAATTCTCTACTCAGGTTCTGGAAGGTTTGCCTACTGGGACTTCAATGAAAAAAAAAAGCTACATGATTACAGATAGTTTAATGGTACAAATTACAAATAAGACATTTTAAAGGCCATGTAAGTTTCTTGTTCACTAAAAAGATCACCATCTAAACAAAGATGCTCTCCTGCCAACAACATTGTGGCCTACACCTACAGAAGCTTCATGTTAGACATACATGTAAGTTTTTCCACATAACCTTCCCAATTCTAGTTTTAAGTCTTCTACTTCCAAAGCAGCAATATAGGCAGCTTGGTTTTTTTACTGAATACAACAGTTGTTACGATGACCATTCGAATCTTTGAAACGCAGACGCATTTTGGGACGATATTTCTCCAAATAGAGAAGCTGTTTGCTGTTAAAGGCTCCACGGCGCTTCCTAAAGAAAAAAAAAAGTTTTAAAAGAGTTGTGCTTTGAGTGACAACATTACTTTGTCTAACACACAGAGGAGTTCAGGACCTGCACCAAACATTTAACATATGTCTCATCTAGCTAGTAATATTGAGGTACTGTACCCTGCCCCACTATGGATTCAGAAGCACATTAAAGAGTTGAGGTCAGGTGGGTACTAGTCCAAAATACATGGATTTACCAGTATTCTATCACTGGAGTCTCATTTCTGCATGCATTAAAATCAGTGCTTCCAAATTCAGCAGCAAGTTCTGTTCCAGATTTAAGCATTTCTCCATTTCTGTTCTCTTGTACAATCTACCTTTGTTCACTTGAACTCATTTGTCAACTATTCTTTGGCCACTGGCCCTTCCCTACCGCAACACAATAGTAGAACTAAGAAGTGCAATTTTAATCATCTTGCACATAGTTCAATACAATTGAATCTGCTTAAGTAAAAAAAAAATTAAACAGTTAACAGTAACTCTTCATACCCTTGCAGACATTAGGTATCAATCAGAATACTTACTGTCTTATGAACTGCACTGCATCTTCATATTTCATTCCGCATTCAATGAGTGCAAGGGCAACTAAAACAGGTGCTCTGTAGAGGGGGGAAATGCATTTATGCAAAATGTTTTCCAAATCTTCTTGCCTATATCTACAAAATTATATTCAACTTTCATGCTCAGATAATTATACCAACATCTCAATTAGAGTTCACAAATATCTGATGAATAAATAATGTGATGATAATCAAGTCAGTTACTGTACATTTTGGAGCACCGAGTCACTGGATTCAGAAAAGTTGAAGTAATTTCTCAATGTACTAACTAGCCAAAGAAACCCCTTGTCAAAACTACTTTAAGAGAGCTAGTTCACTAGTTAAGCTATGATGAGAGAAGATTCTAGGGAAGTAACCTTGTTTAGCAATAGAACCACCTAATATCAAGGTGATATTTAATAAAGGTAAAAGTTTCCCCTTGACATTAAGTCTAGCTGTGTCCAATGCGGGGGTGGTGGTTGTGGTAGTGCTCATCTCCATTTCTAAGCTGAAGAGCCGGAGTTGTCCATAGACACCTCCAAGGTCACGTGGCCGGCATGACTGCATGGAGTGCCTTTACCTTCCTGCTGAAGTGGTACCAATTGATCTAGTCACATTTGTATGTTTTTGAACTGCTGGGTTGGCAGAAGCTGGAGCTAACAGCGGGAATTCACCCCACTCCCCGGATTTGAACTGATGACCTTTTGGTCAGCAAGTTTAGCAGCAGTTTAACCCACTGCGCCACAACAGTGGAAAATACATGTAACCACTCTCTGAACAAATCTTTCCAGAAAAACCTTGTGATGGGTTTGTCTTAGGATACCTGTAAGTCAGAAATGACTTGAAGGCAAACAATAACAATAACCCATAAACTTGACTTCCTCAAATGTACATCAACCCCCATTATCCCTACTAACTGGGAATTACAGTAATGTTGGCAGGATGTTTCTCATTAACCTAACATTTCTGCTTACCTTCCAAGACCAGCAACACAATGTACAGCAATACAACATCCCGGCTCTTCGCGGAATTTAACTTTCAGAAGGTTCAGCCAATCATCAACAATCTGGATAGATGGCGGGGCTCCATCATCAAAGGGCCAGTCCTAGAAAAAGATGAAACCAATAGTTTATGCCTTCCTATCAGACTACTATAGCAACTGCTATTTAAAACTAGCAAATAAAAATTAAGTTACAATGATACTTTTAATTCTGAAACACATACAGCAAATAAAGAATGTGTGGCCCTTGTTCCCATTCCAGACTGCCACAAATAAGGCCACTATCTAGAGACTCATTCCTCTGGAAGTCAGCAGTGGGTGCAATTCTGTCTTAAAATAAGATGTGATAATAGATAATTTGCAGAACAATGGATGGGACCTTCTGGTTAAATCCCGCTTTCCTGGAAGTGGTAGATGATGTATTCAGGCAGTGGGGAATGGGATGAGGTGGCTTCTAGAGCTTCTTATGGCTGCCTACTTAGTTCAGTGCTCTTTGACACTAATATTTTCAGATTGTATCATGTGAGCAAGCAATGAAACTTTCCATTTAAATAATGTTACTTTTTAATGCAAGTTTGGGAAAGTATGCAAGTGTCATGAATACACCAATTTTTTAGAACAAAGATTGGCCTACGGGTTATCCCAAACAGTTGTTCTGAATCTATTTCTTACATTTTGCAGACTCAATAGAAATACACTTAAAACAAAAACACTTGTCCCACTTTAATTCACGTACCTCAATTTTAAAAAATGTATAGCTCAGCCATTAACACCTTTTACTTTAGTTTGAAAACAATTAACTTTAAGAGCTCTCGTGCTTTGAGTTGTCCTTTAAATGGCACGATCTTGTACTATCACCAAACATCTTAAGATGCTTTAATAAGCTACTCACCAAAACCTGAATCCCTTCCTTTTCTACAGGAGCAGTGTCATAAGTGGCTTCACAGACTCTTACTACTGTAGTAACTCCATACTTCTTAAGTTCCTATGGAAAAAGCAAGACTTTTTAAAGCTTTAATCACAACCGTTGATTTTATAATTCCACCTTTAACAACTATAGTGATACAAGTTTGCATATAACACAAATCAAGCTTTGCTGAACTCTTGTTTATCCAAAACTTCTTCCCTGAATAATGTGAGCTAGAATTCATTTTTCTTTGCTTGCAAACTCTAGCTTGTTTAAAATATGGTTTTCCATTTAACTGAACACAGAACTGTGGCATGTCTCTGCCTTTTTTCCAAAGCTATCCATCCTGAAGCAGGACTTAAGGTGATGGTGGCAGGAGATAAAAAGACCATAACTGAACAAATAGATATGTGACCAAAATGTGGTTTGCTATGTCATTTGAAAGGCAATTCAGAGGTAAAACTCATGACTAATGTAGCCATTACTTCAAATACGGAGTTTCATATCTATTATTATTGTCTGCTTCAGGGAGCACCACATTAGTCTTTTAGCTACCATACAAGCCACACTGCATAGTAATTGTGTGATGCATTTACAGCAGGGCCAACTTCTGCATTGTTTTGACTGTATCATTAAGTGTATTTAATTGCTGCTTATCTAAACTTTTACACTAGGATACAAGACTGTGGTTCTGTAGTTCAACAAGCACAATGGCATTTTCTCCTTCCCTTTGACCTCCGAGCTCCAGAGTGGGAGCTCGGAGGTCAAAGCCATCTATGATTCTTAAAATAGAATTCAGCAGAACACTTGACTGAATGGGCCATTTTTAATCTTCTGCAATCATCACATACAGTAGGCCTAATTGCAATCTATGCTTCTTGCTACCTAAAACTGCTATTCAAAAAAGGAAAAACACTCTAGGATTGGCTGAAGAATCTCAGAAAAATATGACAAATCCTCAATATTACAAAAACAATGCATAAGAATTCCAACTGAAAATACTTACCTCTATGAACTTGTTTAAGGTTGCATTGGTTGGATTATGAGTGATAAGAAATCTCATATTCTTGTAAGTGATTTCCACAGGAGCTGGGCGGTTCATTCGAGCCATGTTAATTTAATGAGGATGAGTGACGACAATGATATTTAAAAAAGAAATACTAGCAGAACTGATGGAGAAATTGAAGTCTACTTTACAAAACGCCACTCAAAGTTTCCAGTGCTGACAAATATGAGGTTGGGAGTAATGGGAAATGAAATGAGCCTCCTCAACAAGAAGCAGCAATTCTTCAATCCAGTAATACTGAGGCAAAAAAGAAAGGCAGTGCACCAAGATTACCCCATCCAGGTCTGAACTCCTTTGTAAAAATGCTCTGCCAATTTCAATTCAAAACTTCTTATCCTGGTAACCACTCTTAAGGGGGTTTCTTGGTGGAGTAGTAATAGATTTCTACAGTTCACTTGTCTGCATAGAGGCCGTGCTGTGCCTGGCAGTAGTCCCCACTGCCCTTCAGAAACTCCATAAATGTGTGACCAAGAACACCACAGAACTGCTGCAGAGAGGGGGGGAAAAAGAGGCACAACAGTCAAAAATGGAAAAAGACAACTTCCTAAATGACTTTGTCTTAAGTAAATAAAGTGACAGAAACAAAGGAAGGAAAAGACTAGGAAAAGACTAGAGCCACTTTTATTAATGTCCTTATTTTAAATTTTGTGACATAAGCAATGAAAACAATCTTTTCTTTATTGTATGCTTTTAATTAGGCTTCTTAGCTACTCTTTAAGTGGACAGTAGCCATCCATCAACATTCTCATTGCTTCTGTATTCAAACAATGTTAAAAGAGAAAGATGACAGTAAAAGTTTTAATTAAAGAATTATCAAAATAGAAATGAAAAAAATTCAACAGTATAATGAAATTCTCATTTTATTAGAACAATTTCACGGATATTAATTTCTAACGACTCTTACTACAGTATATACTATCTATTTGTAGAATCACAAAGTAGGAATGCAGTTCAAAATCACATTGGCTATTTTAGTTGCTGTATCATGCCTTGTCAAAGGCATTACTGAAATTGAGATTTGCTATATCCACAGCAATCCCTTCATCTAACAAGTTTGTAACTTGAGAAACACATGTTGACTTTTTTTTAGTATGACTTTCCTTTCCAAATGCTTGTGGACTGTCTGTTTATTGATCTGCTTCAGAATCTTTCCTGATATTGATGTCAGCCTGACTATGTGATAATTGCTTCTTTTTCTTTTAATTTTTACCCAGGTACTCTCAATCTGACTTCCAGATTTAAGTCATAACTTTCTTCACAGGTACAAACGTCCTTAACATCTGCTTCTCCTTTCCTGTTACATCTATTTTTCTGAAATAGTTTATCCTCCTCCATTAGTACACTAATCAAAAGACTCATTTCATCAGGTTTCAGTGATGTGTCTTATATCATATTACAACAGCGGTTATCAAGCAGTGGGTCCCCAGATATTTTAGCCTTCAATTCCCAGAAATCCTAACAGCTGGTAAACTGGCTGGGATTTCTGGGAGTTGTAGGGCAAAACACCTGGGGACCCACAGGTTGAGAACCACAGTATTACAACTTCAAGTTCATCTTATTCCCTGTACTGTATGGATTAGAGTAGGGACGTCCATTTCCCTCAGCTGCTTTTTTGAAACTGCCACTCACAGGACAAAAAGGAATGCCCTTCCTGTGATATGTCTTCCCTTGCTACTCATATAGGATCATGCTATTCTCAAGCAATTGAGAGGAAAGCAAGACCACAGGGAAAGCTAACAGGATTCTAGAGATAACATGAGCCAACAGCAACAATTATCTGCCCCAGAACAGCTGCTATTAAAGATGGCTTCTTTTCAGGCCAAGACAGCTTGGGTTGTCATGGTTATTGGGGAGAATACAGCAGAATACTGTTTAATTCTTGACAGTATTCAATGGGCGAATGAAAGCTAACTTTTAATTTTGGTAATTCAAGAACATGCTGTTTTCACATATCAAGGAACAACTTGTAAAAATTTTATGCACTGCAAATTGTATCAGTAGCAGTACAAGAAATAATCTGCAGATAACATCTTATTTATAACATCTCCAGCCACATTTTGGCTGTAGACAGTCTATGTATATAGTAATGTATCTAGATTTTTATGAAAATCGCTGTTTCTTTTGTAGGCTTGCCTTCCCCTTCCTAAAGTTTGTGATGCCATCTGCAGTTAAGGTAGGTTTTTTTTAAAATTCCTTTAAAATGTCAAAATACTTGCATGGGTGTGCCTCTAGAACTAGTACAGTCTGCTTCCAAAAGCCTGAACATCCTGCTCCTTCCATGATTTTCAAGGAACAGAGTGATCAGACATACTCTTGTTATCAACGTAACAGCTGTTGCTTCTCTTGTCTATTGAAAACTGTTAGGAAAACCAAAAGCAAATTCCCCATCTAATCCAAGTCGAGAATTAGAACTATAATTTTGGATAAAATCAATTAGTCTGAGTGAAGGCATGACTGAACTACTTCCTAAGCTAACAGAGCTTAAGATAGTATTTATTAAAGTTCAATATGGCAAGCATGATATACTCACACATTGGAAGGAATTACCATAAGGTCACTGTTATACCACACGTGTATTTTTCTAACAATAGAGTTTGCTTTACAGCAATTAGATTCGATCTAAATTTGGAAACAGATTTTTTTCCAATGGAGAACTTAAAGAGATTTTGCTAATTTCCTTCCAATCTATTTGTTGCAATGTAGGAGCAGTCTCACAAGGGAAGACTTGTGACAGGAAATACATTTTCACATCCTATGAGTTGCAGCTTCAACTAATGTAAGTAGTCCCTTCCACTGATGGAAATGCTATTCTAGATCCAAATATTTTTTGCCTATCTGCAACTATATTGATTGAATAGATTAGTATTATTCAAATAAATAAAAATATTTAATCACATGACAACCAATTTACAGTAATTCCTTCAAAATTCTCTGTGCACACATTTAAAGTTCAACTTTGCATCAATGCAGTGGGAAATTCTACTGCAATAGACAACATCCATTTTGTATAATTCCTTATGAAAGCTGTTGTGTGGAATATGGCTTTAGAGGTAAAACAAGCCAAATGTTTACCACAAGTGAAGTATTTTAGAATAGAACAGGCAGTCTGTGGGCAGACTGCATTGCTCACCCTCAAAACGATTGGAAGCCGCATCTTGCTATCAACTAAAATTCAACAAAACATAAACAAAGCTATGATTCCCCTTGTTCCAACACACACACACACACACACACACACACACACAACTTTAGGAATAACTTGTGGTCCACAAAGTCTCTAATGACAAAGAGCTAGCACTAGCACTCCCCCACAAGTTGTGGTGAAGTAGGGGTCAGTCATAAACATCAAGCTTAGCAACTGACATTCCAACATAAATTCTCCAAGCAACTTGTGTGAAAGGGTTACAGCACCAAGGCACTTCTAACTGAAGGAGTCTGAATCAAGGCTCATCTGAAAGCTCAAAATGTTACTTTTATGGCAACAATTTTGGAATCTGTTAGTTTCCTCAGCTTCCTTTGCAACCCTCCCTGTGCGTTGGGGATGGTGCCACATTTGCACCACTGGCTAAAAGCTTTTTTTCTTGAAAGCTCTGCAATGACAGGCAGCTGATGAAGTTCTTCTTACTTCAGCCATCATGATCAGATCAGATGCTGGCAAACAAAGTAGACGTGTTTCATTGTTAACCTACAGTATATGAGGACTATCTTAAGTAGCCCAATTTCACAATGCTCTGAAATAGGGGAAAATGTTTGTAATTAAGTTTAAAAGGAAATGGGATTCAAACGATCAAAGAATATGCTGAACATATAGCAAAGATGTTTTAAAATCAAATAATTTTTTGTGTCAGTAGTGACTTGAGAAACTGCAAGTCGCTTCTGGTGTGAGAGAATTGGCTGTCTGCAAGGACGTTACCCAGGGGATGCCCAGAAGTTTTACCATCCTGAGGGAAGCCTCTCTCATATCCCTGCATGAGAAGCTGGAGCTGACAGACAGGAGCTCACCCCACTCCCAACCTTTCAGTCAGCAGTCCTGTTGGCACATGGGTTTAACCCACTGCACCACAGGGGGTAAATAATTAAACTTGCTTCTTAAAATATGAAAGATAAACCTTTGTACTCCCCAAAAGCTCAAAAATTGGATAGTGGGAGGGGGAAACATTGACAAGGAGGTCATTGGGAAGGCTCTTCATGCAGTCTTCCATCCAAGTACTAAGCAAAGTTAACCCTGCTTACCTTTTTTATATAATCTCAATGATGCCTCAGCCCCAAAATTACTGTTTGATCATCTCAACACCCATAAAGCCTTCAGGTTCCTTGCCAGTTACATGTCACATAAGCAGGTACAAATAACCCAAGACCTTGAGCTGTTTGAGCATGACGACGTTGGAGACTAGGTTCAGACGTTATGGAAACTTACTGGCAACACCTGGGCAAGTCACATTCTCTCAGCCTCAAAGAACAGTAATAAAAACCCTCCTCTGAACAAATCTTGCTGAGAAAACGTGGTGACAGGTGTGCCTTGAGTTGGAAATGGGTGCACCTACAATATAGGACTGATGCAGTTTAACAACACTATCTGCCATGCCTCAGTGCTATGGTATCCTGGGAGTTGTAGTTTCATGAGGCACCGGTATTTATTTATTATTTTATTTATTTTGTACATTTGTACCCTGTCCTTCTCACTCCCCCCCCCCCCCCCGGGGGGGGGGGGAGACTCAGGTCGGCTTCACAACAACCACAATCATAAAAATACATTGAAAACAATTCATTAAATATATTACATTAATAAGATATTTGCTTAAAATCACGCTGGTACTCTTGAGGTTGAAAAACTTCAACTCCCATCATTCCATAGCACCAAACCATGGCAGTTATGGTGGTGTCAAACTACAGGCAATCCCCAAATTACAAACAACTCTTAGTTAAGAAGAGGGATGAGACAACTGGAAATGAGAGAAATCTACCCCTCGGAAGAGATATTCACTCTTGAAAGAGTAATCAGGGGGAAAAGGTGTCTTCACTGAAGCGAGCGCACCAATCCTTGTTTCCACAAGGAGACATTTTTTAAAAACCCAGTTATCACAGGACAGAAAGAGGTGAAATCTTCTGAACAGGGGCACAAGCAGCAAAACAAACACCACAGTGTTAACCCTTCCTATGGTATTCAAACTTAATGTATATTTTTGACTGGAGTTTAAAATGTACCTGTTCCAACTTACGAACAAATTCAACTTAAGAAGAAACCTACAGAACCTATCCTGTTTGTAACTTGAGGACTGCCTGTACATCATCTTGCAATGCGTATCTCCCTTTAAAGTACACGCAAGACACGATTGCTAAGGCGCCGGTGCTTTTTTCCCTCACTTTTCCCTCTTTTGGATCAACAGGGGAAACATCAGTGTTTTTCTCCCCTCGGCCTTGGACGGCTTCCGCTCCCTTCCGGCCACTCGCCTCCCACCTGGGGCAGCAGCGTGACCGCCAATCCCGTGAATGGGAGCAGCGTGGCCGTCATCTGCCCACGAGGCGGGAAGGCTGGTCCAAAGCCCCCCCAGCCCCACCCCCGCGGTGAGTCACCCTCGGAAGCTGATTGGCTCCCGCTCCTGCCACTCGCGGTGGGCAAGGAGCAGGCAGTGAAGGAGGGAGAGCGCCATCTGAGCCAGCGGTCTCCGGCAGACAAGCCTCGACTTGTTCTCCTCCGCTGACCTTCTCCTTTCCTCCCTCTCCCTGCCAAGACCAAGACTGTGGGCTGCCAAGGAATCACAGAAGTTGCAAGAGGCCCTGGGGTGGGGGCCATCCAGTCCAACCCCTTGCCACACAGGGACACACCATCAAAGCGCCCCTGACAGATACCCATTCCGCCTCTGCTTAAAAACCTCCATCCATGCTCCGAGGCAGCCGAACATCAGAAAGTCCTGCTTAATGTTTAGGTGGAATCTCTTTCCTTGCCATTTAAATCCATGGCTCTCCAGAGAAGCAGAAAACAAGCTTGTCCCTGGCCTCTCAATGTGACATCCTTTCAAACATTTAAGTCTCCTTCTCAGCCTTCTTTTCCGCTTCCAGGCCTTTGATTCCTTTGTTCCTTTTCTCTCTGGACACTTCCCACTGTCCATCAACATGGGAAATTCCCTCCATGCCCACTCCTTTCTCTGCCAGGAAGAATCAGCAGGGAGAAGAATGGAAAGGGGGAGACAAAACTACAGCTCCCAAGATTCCGTAGTAGCTAAAGTGGTATCAAATACCCTAAATCTTGACCCTTTTCTCCCATAAGGAGGACTTTTGGAGACAATCAACTTAGGTTTGAGGGAACATATAACTCCCATGTTGGTGGGTCTCCTTGGAAGAGGATTGTGAGGGTTTGGGGCAGAAACAGAGCTGAACACACACACTGGGCGACTACTAGGAATGAAGAGCGCCAACGCCACATGGTCCAGCCATCTGTTTAAAGCAGGCCCTCCCGGTGTTTTGGACTTCCACTCCCACAATTACTAACACCCTACGACCGTTTCCCCTTGACATTAAGTCTAGTCATATCCGACTCAGGTGGTGCTCATCCCCATTTCTAAGCTGGAGAGCCAGAGTTGCTGTCCGTAGACACCTCCAAGGTCATGTGATCAGTATGACTGTGTGGCACTCTGTTATCCTCCAGTCGAAGTGGTACCTATTGATCTACTCACATTTGCATGTTTTCGAACTGCTAGATTGACAGAAGCTGGGGCAAACAGTGGGAGCTCACCCCGCTCCCCGGATTCGAACCGCCAACCTTTTGGTCAGCAAGTTCAGCAGCTCAGTGGTTTAACCTGCTGCTCCACTGGGGATCCCCTAATACAGTGTATAGACGCTTTAAATCTTGAGCCTCTCTTCCCATAATGAGGAATTGTGGAGACAATCAACTTAGGTGTGAGGCAACACGTAACTCGCATGTAGTTGGTGGGTCTCCTTAGAAGGGAATTTGGGGCAAAAACTGATCTGAACACACACYGGGCGACTAACGTAAACAAAGAGTGCCGGCGACACATGTTTAAACCAGTAATTCCCAACCTTTGGGCCTCCAGATGTTTTGGACTTCAGCTCCCACAGTTCCTAACAGCTGAGATTTCTGGGAGCTGAAGTCCAAAACACCTGAGGCCCAAAGGCTGGGAACTACTGGTTTTAAGGGAGACTTCAACCTCTTTCACATACTGTAGTCACACTGCAGCATCATAACCACACTTTGAACCGCCATGCTATAGAATTTGTAGTTCAGAGAAGATCTAGAGAAGACTAAAAAGGGTCCACACAAAGCTAGAAATCCCTGGATTGCATAGCATTGCGCCAGGGGGGTGAAAAGTGGGGTCAAAGTGCTACGCTTCTGCAGCGTGGCTCCATCCACACACGCACGAATGCAGCATGGCGGCGGTTTGGGATGGGAGGGGGATTAAGTCTCCCCCTTGTCAGTCCTTTTCCCAGTCTTTAGAAACAGGAGTACATCAGGAGACATAAAAAGCGGTTTGGGGTCTGGGAAGGGGATTAGCCCCCCCTTTTAAAGGAGACACCAATAGCTACTTTACTATCACCTCTCTCTTTTCGCCACGTCCCAAAATGAGGACGTTATCATTGGCCTCGCCCGCCCGCCCGACAGAGAGGCAAGGCTTGCGGCCCGAGAAACAAAGAGACGACCAGGGAGAGGAAAGCGGGAGGGCGCGTTAAGGAAGAGAGTGAGTGAAAAGAGATTACAAGGAAAGGGRGRGGGAGGGAGGGAGGTTGCCTCGCGCTACTCACAGGAATATGGTTACTCATTGAAGACTGTAGCCTGATCATACAGCCTGGGTGCTGAGGGCGCCACCGCCGTGGGCAGGAGGAGCTGAGCCGGAGGGAACGGGCGGCGGCGGTGGAGGAGGAGCCGGAGGAGGGCGGCGGCAGCGGCGGAGGAGCATACAGGGCGCGAAGGAGCCGGCGAGAGACTGAGCGAGGAGGGAGGGGACAGAGGGGGGAAGACGGAGGAGGAGGAGCCGGCTCTTCCCTCAGCTGGCGACGGCGCTGTTGCTAACGCGGCACTGACGGCAGAAAGGCGAAGGGGCGGGGCTAGAGCAGGAGGCGGCGGGAAAGCGCATGCGCCCGTGCGCGCGAGGCCAATGGAGAGGCCGGGGAGGCCGATAGATGGGTGGGGATCCTGGAAGCCCCGCCCCTTTCCCCCCTCACTCTCTCTCTTTCGCCCCACCCCCGCCCCTCTCCCTGCCCCAGTGGCCTTCAAAGCTTCGTGCGTCACCAACGCCTTTTTTCTTCTCCCACCAATCAGAGCGCTCGGAAGGCTCTTCGGCAGACGTGGGGCGGGAGGGCGAGGGAGGGGGGTTGAAAGGGAGAGGCGGAGGAAGCCGGTGGGAACCGGTTGGGAGAGGCAGGCCGGAGGGAGGGAACGAGGGTGGGTCGGAAATCCGCCCGCGCTGATTGGTTGGGGGGCGCGCGCGCTGTCCTCGTGCCTCTCCCTCGCTCTGCCTTGGCCTTGGCCAACACTGCCGGGTTTGGGACAGCTGCTCCTCCGGATCCACACACTCGCCGTCCATGGCTTGAAAATACACTCGGGGAGCAAACACGATTTCGCCATTTTACTTTATATTTTTTACTAGCCGTCCCCTGCCTCGCTTTGCTGAGGCCCAGTCTGTGTATATGTGTTTTGTGTGTGTATATGTGTGTGTATATATTTGTGTATATATGTGATTTTGCACATGCTTTGTAATGTGGGGTTTTTTTTGGCTTCTTAAGTCTCTTCTGTGTTTTTCAGTGTTTTTATGACTGATGGTCACTCCCTGTCACGCGTTACTGTGGCCCACATGGGGGTTCTGTTTGGGAGGTTTGGCACAATCCTATAGTTGGTGGGGTTCAGAATGCTCTGATTGTAGGTGAACTATAAATCCCAGCAACTACAACTCCCAAATGACAGAATCTATTTTTTTGAGTGAAGGACCTACATTGGGTTGTTAGGTGTCATGTCTCCAAATTTGGTGTCAATTCGTCCAGTGATTTTTGAGTTATGTAAATCCCACAAATGAACATTACATTTTTATTTATAGATTTTGTGTCAAAAGAAATGCATACATAAGCATAAAACTGATAAAAATAGAGGGAGCACAAGCAGCTAAATAATTTTAGACCGAAAATGGGCAACAGCGACCTGCATTGTCTGTACCTTAAAACAATTCTTCCTCTGTGCATGAGGCAGGCCATTGTGGGCAAGTATACGGATGCGGAGTTGTTTGTGCTGCACCGCAGTTGCACAAGGTGGAGGGTTCTTCTAGATAGGGCCATTTTGCCAGGTTGTCTTTTGATCTGCCCACTTCACTTCTGAGTCTGTTCAAGGACTTCCAAGTTGACCATTCTTGGTTTGCCCCAGGAGGAATACTCTCATGTGGACCATCCAGTTTGAATTGTCTGTTTTTGCCTCCCATAGGAATATTTTTGCTGTTACTGGAGGAACATTGAGAGGAGTGGTGGTTCTCATGAAACTTTTCCTTGATTTGTGTCTACTTACTTAGGTGAACCCTCTATGATTGTCTTCTAAGTGTAGGATCTTGGCAGTGGATACATAGGTGACTGTGGAGCCCTGTTCTTTACCTGCATGTTCTCCCGCAGTGAGGGCATCTGTTTCCAGGTGGAAGGCGGTTCTGGGCAAGGTTGGCTTGTTGTGCCTTCCTCTAGGCACATTTCTCTCTTTCGCCCTCCATTCGTGCTTCTTCAAATTCCACAGCACTGCTGGTCTCCAGCTGATCTCCAGCTAAAGTTCTCTATGGCCAGGGCTTACCAGTTCTCAGTGTCTATGCCACAGCTTTTATGGTTGGCTTTAACCCCATCTTTAAATCTCTTTTCTTGTCCACCGACATTCTGTTTTCCGTTCTTGAGTTGAGAGTATAGTAAGTTTTTTGGGGAGACAGTGATCGGGCATTCGGACAGCGTGTCCAGTCCAGTGGAGTTGATGGCAGAGGAGCATCACTTCAATTATGGTGGTCTTTGATTCTTCCAGCACACTGACATTTGTCCACCTGTCTTCCCAAGAGATTTGCAGAATTTTCTGGAGGCAACACTGATAGAATTGTTCCAGGAGTTGTGTGTGACGTCTGTAGACAGTCTACTGGGAGGAGGCTGATAGTCATGCAGTGGGTGGCTTTCACAGTGTTCAACCTTATTTCTCTCGCATGGAGCCACCGGTGGTGCAAAGGTTTAGCCCTTGTGCTGGCAGGATTGCTGACTGATAGGTCAGCGGTTCGAATCTGGGGAGAGCAAGTTGAGCTCCCTCTGTCAGCTCCAGCTCCCCATGCGGGGACATGAGATAAGCCTCCCATAAGCATGCTAAAACATCAAATATCTGGGCGTCCCCTAGGCAACCTCCTTGCAAATGGCCAATTTTCTCACACCATTTTCTCAAGTCTCTCCTCACATAAAAAATCAGGAGGGGGCGGGGGCAGTGCAAGCTAGCTTATAGAACAGATATGGGTAAACCCACGCCTGGGGGCCGGAGGCGGCTCCTTGGGTTCTTTTCTCCAGCCCTCTTCTCTCTCACACCATCATATTCTTGCCTTCTCTCTTTCATCCCTCCATTCCGTCTTACCTCCCTTTCTCCCTCCTTCCCTTCCACCCTCCTTCCCTTCCACCCTTCCATCCTTCCCTCTTTCCTCCCTTTTTCCCTCTCTCCTTCCTCCCCTTTTGTCTTTCCTTCCTTCTCTCTTTCCTCTCCCCCCCCCTCTTCATTCCCCTCTTCCTTCCTTACTTCCTTCCTTCCTTCCTTCCTTCCTTCCTTCCTTCCTTCCTTCCTTCTATTTTGCACTCCTGCTTTCCTCCTGGGGGATGTTGAGCTGGGAGAAGAGAAAGTTGAGAGGGAACATGAGAACCATGTTTCAAGATTTAAAAGGGTGTCCCATTGAGGAGAAGGGGGAAAACTGACTTTCTGCTGCTCTTGGGACCAGGGCACAAGGGAGCAATGGGTTCAAATGGCAGGGAAAGCGATTCGACTGAAAATATTAGGAAGAACTTCCTGAGAGTAAGAGTTGTTGGAGAGTGGCATAGGCTGCCTGGGGGTGTAGTGGAGTCTTCTTCTCTGGAGGCTTTTCCGTAGAGGCTATCTATCGGGAGTGCTTTAATTGTGTCTCCCTACATGGCAAGGGGTTGGACTGGATGGCCTTTGGGGTTTTCTTCCAGCTCTAGGATTCTATATCAGGAGTAGGCATTACAAGTTCTAATGGATACACTTTTTCTCTCCCGTCCACCATTTCATCCTGACGAAGGCCAAACTTTTTGGGATCCAAATGTTTCCTGTCTTTCCTTCACTTTCTGCCTCTGAAAGAGAAGAGAAAGGGGTGGAAAGGGCAGAGAGGGGACTTGGGGAAAACACTCTCTCTCCCAGCCTGCCCACCCCACCCTGGCCCACTATTCAGCCCCCAAGTTAGAATGTATGCCCATGCCTGTTATAGAGTCTATCAACAGGTGCAGGTTTGAGACATCCTGTTATTATTCCACATGTATTTTTCAGTGCTATATTCACCTGTTTTGCATGGACAGATTTGTGCCAAACAGGGCAGGCATACTCAGCAGTTGTGTAAGACAAGGCCAGGGTTGATGTTCTGATTAATTTTGGGTCTGCACTCCATGTGCTACCAATTAGTTTCCGCAGGATGTTATTGCATGTAGCTACTTCATGCTTGATGATTGCAAAGTGTTTCCTAAATGTTAGTGTTCAATCTAAGGTGATGCCAAGATATTTAGGGTGGGAACAGTGTTCAAGCTCATGGCCTTCCCAAGTGACTTTCAATTTCCTGTTGGCTTCATGGTTGTGCAGGTGGGAAGCACACATTTGTGTCTTGGCAGGGTTAGGCTTCATGCAGTTATCTTTGTAGTAGCTGAAGAGATCTATCAGGGCATTTGGAAATTGGTTTTTGATTGTTTCAAACTCTTTTGTTTGTGTTGTTAGACACAGTCATCAGCATATATAAAGCTATTTGTGAGAAGGTGCTATGGCTGATTGTTAGGAAAGATGTTAAACAAGGTCGGTGCAAGAATGCTGCCTTGCTTTGCCATTTACTGAAGGGACACCATACAGTCCTGGAACTAACCCCAGGTGTTACCAAAACTCCCCTATCCTCTCCATAGGATGCATATACACTGTAGAATGAATGGAGTTCGACACCACTATACCTGCCATGGCTCAGTGCTGTGGAATTAAGGGAGCAGTAGCTTGGCAGGCTAAAGAGCTTGTAAAATGACAACTTTCATGAATCCATACCATCGAGCCCTGACAGTTAAAGTAGTGTCAAACTGCATTCATTCTACTGTATAGATGTACTTTCATTTCTCCAAAAACATGCTGCCAGGAGGCCCTTTTTATTTCCTCCTTTTTCTGAATCACTTTCAGCCTCTTTTACCATTGGATTGCTGTCGACTTTCATAAAACAAGGCTCCTATTTCTGATTTCCTAAGAAAAAGACTTCTATCTGCATTTCACAATCAGGATCGTTGAACTCTGACACTTCACTGAAATACATCAGTTGTAGTTTCAGGCTTCAAAAAAAGCATTTGCCACCCTCCTTACAACTCCCGCCTGCTTATTGACGTCATTGTTCTGGGAAAGTGGGCCTCACACTCTGGACTGGAAATCCTATCCAAATACTCCCAAACAGTCCTCAGAGCTGTTTTCAGGCTCAAGATTGACAGACAGGTCTTTATGAGTTTTGTCAAATTGCATGTGTCTCTGTGTGTGTCAATAGAAATGCTGAATATAGTCCATTAAAATGGCAGTTTGCAGTGTGGCTACCATGGAGAGGACGATGGCTGCCTTGAACTTCAGCCTTGAGGAAAATAATAATAATAAATCTTATTTATATCCTGCTTTTCTCCCACGAAGGGATCCAAAGTAGTTCCTAACATGTTAAAATACAATCAAATACAATACAAAATCAAAAACACACAAATACAAAACATAATAAGCAATAGATAAAACATAAATAAGCATTTTAAAACAATATACATGATGTGTAAATAAAGGGATTGTAATA